CTCCTGTATTTCGCTCATTGCGAAGTGGCATTTCTTCTCGTTAATCTTGAAGTTTTGCTCATTGAGTCTCTTAAGGACTCGTCTGACTAATGCGGCATGTTCGCCCTTAGTCTTAGAAAAAATAACTATGTCATCTATATAGACTTGCACGTTAGGCATGTCTGCAAACATTTCCTCCATTACTTGTTGGACGAATGCTGGTAAGGAATGTGACCCAAAAAGTGTACCTTTAAACCTGTATTGTTTACCTTTCCAGGTAAAACTAAAGTACTTGCGATGGGGTTCATAAATTTGTATTTGATGATACCCCTGTGTTATGCCTATGGAAGTAAACACCGTAGCACCTTCCATTCGTCTCAGTTACTCGTTTATACGAGGGATATGAAAACTATGAGTCGGTAATAACTTATTTATTGGGCTCATATCTAGACATACTCTGACTTTCTTAAATGTTCCGTCAGAGTTGTGTTGATCAGCTGCCAATAATGCCAAGTTAGCTGGCGTTTGTTGGTAATTGATTCCGATTACCCCATCGGATAACCATTTCTTGACTTGTTCTTTGACTACAGCTTCGTGTCTCCAAGAAACATAGTTTCTTGAAGGACATTTGAGCTTAGTAAAGTCTACCTTGGTTAAGTCAAGGCTGACGTATCCGTCGTTAAAGCGGAATTTCGCCAGTCGGTTATCCTTATCTTCTTATTTACTATTATAAGGTCCATTATCTTATCAGCAAAGCCAGGAATTTCTTGACTTGTTCTTTGACTACAGCTTCGTGTCTCCAAGAAACATAGTTTCTTGAAGGACATTTGAGCTTAGTAAAGTCTACATTGGTTAAGTCAAGGCTGACGTATCCGTCGTTAAAGCGGAATTTCGCCAGTCGGTTATCCTTATCTTCTTATTTACTATTATAAGGTCCATTATCTTATCAGCAAAGCCAGGAATCAATTCCTTGACTGTGTCCGATGGTGGTGTATATGGTTTTAGACAATTATCGTCTGACTGATCCTTTAATGGATCTATGTTGTTGGGTAAGCCTGTTACGGTTATCCCTAACGTGAGCAAATCGCTCATCCGACTATAATGTCGTACTTCTGAGACAGCTTAACGATCACATCTTGGGTAGTGATATTCTATCATCGGCCAGGAGGTAACATCTGTGGCCATGGTATCACATTTAGAAATTTTATCATCTGCTAAAATTAGGTGAGTAGTTTGAGTTCGCCTTTCAATGTCTTTTATTGATACAAAGCGGTCGGATATACATGAAACTTCTGAACCAGGATCAATCAATGCAAGAACTTTATTTCCCTTGCAATATACAAGGATTATTACACGCTCATCTAAGGAGTCGTTGTATTTTCTTTGTAACGATTGTACCTGGTAGTACTTTCACTTCAATTTAATGTCGGGCTTCTTGTCGCAAGACTTGAACGTGATAGCCATTGGTCTTCTCACACTTGTCACACTTAGTAAGAAAGTGTGTACAGGTGGGTGCATGTCTTCCATTCCAATAACCGTTAGGGGTCAATTGGTACATGTCATATCCACTCTGTGCGTCGGCACATTCTTAATCTCCTTATATGGAGGTTCCTTGTCCTTCGGCTCCGCGCGTGCCCGTTTATTGGGTCGCGTTGATTGAGTAGAGTCGCGAGCACGTGTCTGGTTAGGACGCGTCTGATGAGGCGTATCATCTGACGTGAGAGGTATCCTTGATCAGGGAGCTCGCGCGGTTTCTTATTTACTGCCTTTCCCTTCGAGGTTACTCGGTGTGCGGGCAAAAGAATGGGTACCGTATCATAAAACTGTTCCCACGTAAGTCGGGAAAGATAAAACTTTGTTTCATGTCCCTTGTCTCGAGCCTCAGTTGCGTACTTCCGTCGCAACTCGGTGTACAGACTTTCACGGTCGTTATTCCCTATGTTTTTACAGAAAACATGCATAACCAGGAACTCGTACCATCGCTGGGCCTTGTCCATTGTTATATCTGGACGTTTTAGGTCAGCATCAAGTTTCAGAATGTAACTCTGAATAGGAGTATTCTCAACTTGTTCAGTTAAGATGGAACTCAGTCCTGGACTGCGCCATGTCCTTGCTTAATAAAGACGTAACCAACCAACACACAGCTGGCCAGTCATGACAAGTGTCTAGCTCTGGTTTCGCTGCAAAATCAAGTAACTTGTTCCTGTAGGGTCAAAAGACTTAAAGCAGAAATCCATTGCTGGGGAGCGATATCATTCGTCTCCAGCATGAC